GAAGGAAGGAAGGAAGGAAGGAAGGAAGGAAGGAAGGAAGGAAGGAAGGAAGGGAGGGAGGGAGGGAGGGAGGGAGGGAGGGAGGGAGGGAGGGAGAAAGGAAAAGGAAGAAAAAGAAGGAAGGAAAGGAAGGAAGGAAAAGAAGGAAGACCTTGTTCAGTGTGTCACTGAAGTATTCCGCTGCATGACCATTATTTGCTTATGTATCTTTCACTCAACTAAATCTCTTCTTTAATTAATGAAAACAATACATTAATCAGTTCTCTTTCTATTGAAACATATTAACTTCACACTAAATACTTAGAAAATGAACATCTTACAGATATAAAAACAGAGCTTATAGATAAGCTAGAGGCAAATTTCGTCTGAAATTGCAAATGAAGTCATGCTCCTTAAGGAGTTTGAGAGGCTCTCAGCTGATTTGCCGCGGCCTGGCAGAGGGATACAGGAGAAAGTTCAGGCACAAAACAAGGTCTAGAGCAGTCCTCAATCCTTTCAAAGGAATTCTGAATTACGAGGCTCACTGAGCAGGACATGGTAGAAGAGATCGTGAATGGAGAGACACGAGGCTGACTTGGGAGCGTGGACGCACAGGATGCTTCCCAAGGTAACCGCTTACCTGCTGGTTCTGATAGGCCGTGACGGTGGTGAACACGGTCTCGGGAAAGTTGAATGTCTTCACCCCCTCTCCCACAGGAACCGGCTTGGTGGGCGAGAGGTCACTGCTGAAGTCCTTCCGGATCACGTGCACTCGGGGCTGGTATTTGTGCATGGAGTGCAGGATGATCTGAAACGAGAAGGAGAGGCTTTGGGTTAGGTCTCCCTGTCTTCTCAAGCTCTCGTGCAACGCGAGTCACCTGGCAACGCATCATCAGAAGAGGACAGGAAGCAGGAAGTCTGCACAGCCATCCATGGTGGGGGAGTGGTGAGTCTTCAGATAGCATTGTGTGGAACCACATACCAGGCTAGCCCTAGCAGGGGTGGTGACGTCGTGCATTTGTTTTAATGCAAAAAAAAAAATGCCAAATGATTGCTTTCGTACCAGCAGGTAATATAAAAGCATTTCTCAGTGCCTCTGCCCTGAGACACATCATTTGCATTTTCAACACGGATCCAGGCTGACTTTAGGTTTTACACACTATTGTTTGTGCTCATTGTTGAGATGATGGACATTTGTTTATGTCACACGAGTGGAATGTGTGTTCTTACTGCCTCCAAATACTGTCATTTTCTCTTGAGGGGAAAAGCAAAAAGGAGTGACAGTCTCATGTCCTTAGTCTCTCCAGTAGAGATACTGTCATTGGGTGACCATTCAGCACATGTTTTATCACCAGAGATAAACTAATAACACTAGTTGCTTGGATTATACCTGCAAAGCCGTTAGATTTCGTCTCCCCCGTTATCAATTCATAAATTTCTTCACCAGTCAGCTCCCACTGTCATTCCCTTCTGTTCCCTTCTAAGTGAGTCTAATAGGCGCTGTGATTTCTTCTGCTTCATCTGCCTTCTGTCTGTCTTGCCCCTGATAAGGCTGTAATTTCTGGTTCAGAAGGACTTTGTTCGATAAACATAAGCTGATATGGAGCAGATGTTTGCTAAATGTTAGGTTGGCAATGAATGAAATATAACTGGAGGGGAGGAAAAAAAAACCCTTTATGCTCACTTACTTAGGAAGACTTCAAGTGACACGGAAATCCTTATTTTATCTATGTGGAAAAGGCCAGGAGCTGGTGAGCACTACAAGAAAAAGGGGGAGAAGGAGGAAGGCAGGGGGGACTGTGGCACTCACATGTCCTTGATCGTCCAATTCGTTGTTGGTCAGCTTGAGTTTGTCAAAGCTGACCACCTGCCTCATCCAGGTGTCTCCGGAAGCCAGAGAATCGGGGTGTATGTACACCCTGGGAGGCACGGGAGAATCTGCATTGCCAGCCACCATCCACTTCGAACTGTGATATACATATCTGGGATAGAAAAGGAGAGAGGAGGATTCAGATTGACTCAGAGAGAGAAGAGAGAAAGAGGCAGGTCCAGGGGACAAGTAGAGCCAGGAATAAGGAGACACAACAAGATGACAAGGATGGGAAGGGGACCGAAGGACACAGAGGCTGTTGGTGGGACCAACAGAAGGGGGAAAGGCAAGCGATGGGGTGGGCTGGGGGTAGGAGGGCAGAGTGGGTTGGGGGAGGGCAGACCGTGGTGAAGATCATGCTGCAGCTCTCCAGAGAACATTCTCACACTCCTTTTCCTTTCTTCTCCCTCTCCTTGCCATGCACCCCCCCACCCAAACCCGCCCCCGCACACCCCAATCCTGAATCCACGTGTCTAGCGAAGGAAAAGGTATTTTACGGCAACCTTTCACCTCCCAAATGCAAACCATATTATCCCTTTGGCCACTTGTTTGGGATCTTGTTCCTTATTAAAAACATCTCCCATATTGTCCTGTAAAAGGTAGCCATGAGCCGTTCTCTGGTTAACTGTTTCTGTGCTGGGAGGCAGAGTTCTGGGGCCTTTCTGAGTTAGTCCAGGCATTCCCAGAAACGCCACCAAATCTTCCCACCGAGGGGGCTTTTTTCTTTGATAAAAATGGTCTGCCCTTCCTCACTGGGCCCGCTGCTCCCCCGAAGAAGCCATGGGAGTGGGTTTTACAGATTTCCCCATGTTCTCAGGGAGCTCAGGGCAGACGCCACAGACTGACACTTCTTTGCTTCCTGGCTCTCCGGGTCACAAGGATCCTAGGTCCTGGCAGCCAGAGGGAGGCACACCGCCTAGATTAGAGGGCCAGGGTCCCTGGATCTTCTAACACAGACCAGTGACTTCCCTCCTAAGTCCTACAGTCCACATCTCACAATGCTCCCAAGCCCTCTCAGCTCCTCACTTCCTGCACCCCATCTGCCAGTTGAAAAGTCACAGGCTTTAAGTTCTCAGATTTTCACTGTTTCAAATCCGAGAAACAACTCACTGATTCCACGGAGATCTCCAGAGATCAAACAAGCCACAACTTTGTCTGACAAGAGAATTGTATAATCCATCCAAGAGATTTAAAGATTCCATCAGCAAGCTGGGTGCCGGTGGCTCACACCTATCATCTTAGCTACTTGTGTGGCTGAGATCTGAGGATCAAGATTCAAAACCAGCCCAAGCAGCTAAGTCCATGAGGCTCTTACCTCTAATTAACCACCCAAAAGCTAGAAGTGGGGATGCGGCTCAAGTGGTAGAGCATTAGCCTTGAGCCAAGTGAGAATCTAAGGCCCTAAGTTTAAGGGCTAGTTAGTATTGGTGCACACATATGCGCGCACACACTCACAAATTCCACTGGCTTTTCATAAATTAAAGGAAAAGTCACTTAGCACACTTTCGGAACCACAAATGAAAGCCCAGATCAATGTTCTTCCTGAGGTTCTCCCAGTTTTCCTGCTGTTCCTGTCCATCATTTCCAGGATCCTATCAGAGGTGTGACTGAGTACTCAGCCCTGGCCCACTTCTCCCTTCCAACTCCAAAGTAACTCCTACCCCATCAGGTAGCCAAATCCTTCCATATGTTACTCACCTCCGTGCTCATTGAATTAATTTCAGGCCCAAGATCCCTTTCATGGTTGCTGCCCTAGAGACACTATGAAACCTTGTTTCGTCCAGAGATGCAAAGAGGATTTTAAGACCCGACTCACTAAGCCACAATTTCCTACATTTACTCACAACTTCCTGCCTGGTGCTCTACCACTGGCCATTAACATACCATCATCCTGGCTCCCTGTACAGTGTACACTGTTAAAATGCTTCATCACACAAGTTTAAATAGTGATCCTGAGGTTGTTAGTGGTGTTGACCAGCCCCCATAGCAGGGTTTTATCCTTACCTGTATCTTTTATTGTCCACGGGTACAATGTCCATCGCGATGTAGTACTGCTGGTGAGGGTCAAGACCAGTAATTTTCACTCGCATGGCAGGAAACATCCTCCTGGGAGGGTGAATAAGGTAGTGAGTGAGGCAGAGGAAGAGGAGTTAGCAGAAGGAAGGCTCAGGGTGTCGAATTAGGTCCTCTGAGCATCTCAAGGTCCAGTGACCTCAACTTCTTTAAGTTGATGGATACTTCTCTTGCTTTGCAAAATATCACTGTAGGATGTGCCGTGGGGCCTTGGGTTGTGAGTTAGCATTTCTTCTTAAGTTTTTCCTGCCAGGTGCCAGTGGCTCACACCTGGAATCCTAGCTACTCAGGAGACTGAGATCTGATAATCACAGTTCAAAGCTAGCCTGGACAGCAAAGTCCAATAGACTCTTCTCCAATGAACTACCAAAAAAAAGCTGGAAGTAAAGGTATGACTCAAGTGGTAGAGCATCAGCTCAGGCCTTGAGTTCAAGTCCCAGTGCTGGCACAGTTTTTTTAAAAACTTATTTGATAATCCATATACTCCAGAAGCTTGTACCATCCCCTGCTTCGGGTATTTAATTCATCTTTTATGCGACACATATGTGTATATGTCAGTATATATGTGCCTGTGTACATTTTCTAGTAGCTATGATCTGAAAGGTTGACTCAATAACACGTTACTCTTATTTGTTACTGCAGATAATAAACTTATCACAGTGATTTTTTAAAATATTTTGGACTGAGTTCTTAATAACCATTCTAAAAATAATCCCAATGAGAAGTTGTTGTTTTATTTACATAGTGAATGTGTTGCCCATCTCCAAAAGAAAGGCCATGAAATGTTGTTTTATTTTTTTCCCTCCCTGTATAAACGTGCAACAATTTCTGTGAGTTCTCAGGCTGTCGATCTATGTGTCAGAGGAAGGGGGGCTGGGGAGACCAAATGGACTGGTGGCCTCCGGGCACTACCTTGTTTTACCACAATGGCTTGTTAAACTTGCCAAAGCGAGTGAGGTCAGGATGTGGCGCTTTACAGCTTCACTCATGACTGAAGACAGGCGAGGGTGGGAACAGCCCCAAAGAAGGATTGAGTTTCAGCAAGTGGAGAATAAGGTTCACCATTCTTCCTTAGCCATCAGAAAGCAGAAAACCTCCAACCTCTTTTACATCAAGCCAGACATTAAAAAAGAACAAGAAAAAGTGCCCAATTCTGTGGATCGCCCTCCTCTATGCTCTAAGGCCCCTGGACACAAAATGCCGCTTTATGTTTAAGCATCTGGGGCTCATTAGGAGAGCTGGGCAGAGCTGGTGCTAATGAGGCCAAGGTCATGGGTTTGATCTACATAGGGCTTAATTGGCTTTGCTCCATTTCATGACCACAGACCATAGGCTGACCTCAGTGTATGGTGGCTAGTGATCTGAGAGCTGTCTGCGCAGGTCATTCATTCGCCACTCTCTTAGGGAAATACAATCCCAAAAGCAATGGTCCCCTGGCAGTGAGTCAGAGACATGACCATATTTTGAGGGGTACAAAGAGGACCATCAACCTCTAATGGGGATATGGCTGATTCTCTTTTGGGGCTGTTGTCAGTACTAGGGTTTAAACTCAGAGCATTGTACTTTCCCAGATCACTTGTTCTACCACCTGAACCATGCCTCCAGCCTGGTTTGTGCTGGTTGTTTTAGAAATGACATGCCTCAGATTTTTCTGCCCAAGCTGGTTTCAAATCATAATTCTCTAGACATTAGCTTTCTGTGTAGTCTAGGTTATAAGCATGAGCCACCAGCATCCAGCTTATCCTTAAATAATTGCAAAAAATAATACACAACTATTTATTTTTCCCTATTCCATTGCTCCACAAAGTCTGATGCTGGCATGTTGTTTTGTATTTCTCTCCCTGACCTCACAAGTTTAATTTAGTCTCATGGTGCACTAATGAAATGTGATGGTTAGCTATCACACACCCACTATGATGAACACTTTGATATGTATTAATTCTTTTTTTAAAAAAATGAAATCTTTGTTCTATACATTTAAATAGAAACCCATAATTCCCTTTAATAACAATGAATTACAATTGCCTTGTCTTATAAGCCTGCATTGTAGTGAAGGAAATTGATTGTTTTGTCTGAGTGACTCCCTGAGGGAGAAGACTTGCTATTTTTAATTTAATAACAATTTTGTCTGGAACAGTTATATACCTTGAGTAAAATGCTACCTGTCTCTTCCCAATGCTCAAGCTCTAAAATTAATGAGCAGTATGACTCTGGATAAATCATTTAGCTCCCAAAGCAAAAGGACTTGATTATTTGTAATGTGCTGACCTGCTTTAAAATTCTACATGTAAATTTTAATTCTCCCAAAAACTTTGCCAAAGATTTTAGGGGGAAAAAACACTTTCATTTTAATACATGAGAATTTACAACATTCTAATGGGAAAAGCCAATTACTCATAGTTCATAAAAGTGTGTTGTGTTTGGTTTTAATTTTATGGGTACAATGTAGGGCAATTCTTTTGTCTCAGAAACCCAAGAATCCCTACCACCGCCTCTGTCCGTGGTACTGATTATGAGATTGTGTTGCTGCATGCAAACACTGAGGATTCAAAACTTGATTGTGTAGACAGTCTTCATTCAGAACCAACAGGATTGGAGTGTGAAGAGAAACAGACGGTAACTGAGAACTTAAAAAAACAAACAAACAAACAAAAAGAACATCGAAAGCTACATAGGGCAAAGTGAAAATGGGAATCCAAATGGAAAATAATGCTGCGTAAGAATGAAAGTGGAGAAGAAACCAGCCAGGCAATGAGAAAGGAGGAATGAAGTTCATCAACAGTAGAACTTCTCCACGTGCTTCTGAGCTGCTCCTGAATCATCTAAGATGGAATCGCAACACCTGAGACAAGTCACAATCGTAGGTTCTAAACTTAAGCAAAGGTTTCCAATTCAACTGATGAGGAAACCAAGTTTATCTGTGCTAGGAAAGAAGTCGCTTTTCTTCAGCCTCTAGAAGAAGTTGTAGGAACAGAGGTGGGCAGAATAAATCATGGAGGAGCAAAACTTTTCAAATGAAAACGTTTTGCTTGAATTGTTTTGTTTTCTTCCAGGCCTTAATGAGGTAAGAGCCCTAAAGCTCAAGTGACAAGAAAGAATCAGCCCTAGAAGATGTTCTCTTTCAAAGTGGCTTTATTTAAGGAGATTACGGGTGGACTGATTTAGTAATGAAATATAAAGAAGGAAGAGGGTTTCAGGAGAAAAGGGAACAGGCCAAAATCTCAGATTTGCTTGCATCCTACTGAGTGGGTAGATGACCCAACAAAAGCATTCTTTCCCCTTTCACGTCCGTATTCATGGAAGTAACCTATGAGCAGTGAGGTAGATCTCTTCCCTTCACACAACTTGTCAGTCTATAGACATTGGCTTTGAAAGCACAAAGAGAATTGTTCAGCTGGTTTTCAATTGACCACTCTTGTATAATCAAAACTATAACCCAAATTTAGTGTCAGGTAAATTGTTTTCATTTTGAACCCAAAAGAGCAAAAACTACAACCATTTCTTAGAAGCGCAGTCATAAATAGTTTTTAAGAGCATGACTTGAGAGCCTCACAGACTGGTGTTGAATTCTGGTGCTACATTTTACTACCCCATGACTAAGTTAGTGACTTAGTCAAGTTAATTAACTATTAGTCTTTGCTCCCTTGTTTGTAGGTAGCATGATTATTATTATCCTGTGATCGCAGGAGTCCTTCACAGGGGTCTTGTAAAGTTAAATGATATTATATATAAAATATTTACTTGGGGCTGGGAAGGTGGCTCAGTGGTAGAGTGTTTGCCTTACATACATGAGGCCCTGGGTTTGATTCCTCAGCACCACATAAGCAGAAAAAGCCAGAAGTGGTGCTGTGGCCCAAGTGGTAGAGTGCTAGCCTTGAGCAAAAGAAGTTCAGGGACAGCACCCAGGCCCAGAGTTCAGCCCCCATGACCGACAAAAATTTACTATATAGATGCTTATATAGTACTTATTATATAGGTTTATGTATAATATATTTATATGCATATTTATTAATATATAATAAAATATATACATGAGTGTCTCACATAGAATAGATACCTGGCAATGGAAACTGAAACCTAGCTATGGAGAATAAAATGATGACAACAAAGAAGTGGTTTATTGAAAACTATTTCAAGAGAAAATGTATTTTAACTTTTTTTTATCATCCTAGTATTTACCTATTTATGTTTTGTATGAGATCCACAAGTATAGGGGTAACACCGGTCCTGGGGCTTGAACTCAGGCCCTGCACGTTCACATGCTTCTTTCACTTAAGGTTGTTGCTCTACCATTGGAGACACATCTCCACCTCTAACATTTGGTTGGTTAAATGGAGATAAGAACCTCATTGACTTTTCTTCCCAGGGCTGGCTTTGAACCTCCATCCTGAGGTTCAGGATCTCAGCTTCCTGAGTAGGCGTGAGCCACCAAGCATATGGCTCACAGTCAACGTGTTATCATAATTTCAAGCCAACAATCAGATATTTGGGCCAAGAAGCAGGTCTCCAAAGCTCACCAAGCCCAATTTTTACTATGTGTCTGGTTGTTCTAGTCATCCTAGAAGACGTAAGCTGTTGACTGGGGAGAACAATTCCTGAGACTGGAGAGGGAAGTTTGGGAACACTTGCTTTGATGATCTATCTTCGGCCTCTTAGGATACCTAGACCCTTTGGGAGTAGCTGAAATATATTTGCAAAAAAAAGAAACTGTGGAGTGGTGGTCATTTAGATTTGAACGCTGGAGGACAGTGGCAAAATCACAATGAACACAAAAAGAAGTCATGGCTGAAATAGGAGAGCAGAAGATGCTACAGCTTCACCAGGATGACCAGAAACCCATGATGCGGAGGAGGCAGGGAAGAACACAGGCTCCGACTACCGTTGATTCTCAGAATTTGGCCATTGCAAGAAGTGTCTTACCTGCCTGCTTTGGTGATAATCATCTCGGTCCCGATATCATGGAACCTCTTCCAGAGATCAGCGCACTGAAGGTCCACCTGGATCTCCTCCATGGATGACATGGCGGCAGGCACGGGTCCGGCAGCTCCAGGGACCAGCTCTGCGTGACCGCCGAATGAGCAGGCAGCGCGCTCCGTGAGCACCTCAGAGTCGGACCCGGTGCTCTGCTCAGAATCTGCAATGCAAGGAGCCAAGCCTGGGGTGAGATGCTGCTGAGTTGCTTATCACCCCTGGCTCTGTAAAGAAGGGGGATTTGGTTAGGTTTCGGGATGGGGAGGAGCATGGTAGCCTGAAGAGAGGTGGACAAAAGGAGAGTTGAGCTGGGAAGCGCCAGAGCACAACACTAAGAGTATTTTATTATATTTTTTTATGGTTTGGGTTTTGTGATTTACGACCTTCTTTTGGGGTTTCGTGTTTCCAACTTGACATCTGGCATTTTAGTAAGTTTCAGCAACAGCTGAAGAAAATTGGCCCAGGACAAGCCGTAATAAAGAGCACTAATGTCACCACCTTGAAGAGAGGGAGGCCAGTCTCGAGATGACAAAATAAATACCAGGTTGGAGGAAAATAGAGATCGCAGGCTCTATCTGGAGATCGAGGTTAGACTGTCGAGTTTATTCATACGATTATTCAACCTGCTCCCTCAGTCCAGACTCTCCTGACCCATCTGTCAGCTATTCTTAAATCCAGCCACTTCCTCTCTGTTCATCCCTGCCCTGGGACATCACACATAATGAAAAGAGGTTTGGGATCTTTAGAAGCTCTTTGTCACGTGTTTGAGTAAATGGTTTTTCCTATGATCCAATCAGGTCATTTGGGATGGAGAGGGGATAAAAATAATCCTCTTTGGGGAGGTAAGACGATAAGCATATGGAAATCGTTACTGGAGAAAGCGATTGAAACAAAGGGAAGAAGGGAGATCAGGAGACACTTTGTTTGGTTTGTGAGTCCCGGGCAAGGAGCGCTGGTCCAAACATGGAGGAGGAATCAGAGTAGCCCAACAGAAAGCGGGCTGCCGGGACAATTGGTCCTTTCCTGAATCTTCCATGCTCCTGATGACCAGGGGGATGAACAACAGGGAAGGAGAAGGATGGGGAAGGCTGGAGTCGGAGAATACGCTGACATGTTTGAAGTTTACATTGGGGAACCTAATGTCAAGAATTGTTAAGTCATAAGATTTTGACAGTTTAGGTTAGCAAGTAGAATCTTTCCAGGTCAAAAGATCCCTTCAGGTCTCGTGATCAAATGGGCTCAATTAGCATTTCCATCTCCTCAATGCTTATCTTTTCTTTGGGTTTGGGGTTGCTCTCTTAGTTTCTGAATGCTAATTAAATTTATTTTACTATTAATTAAATTTATTTTTAATTACTACATGAAATCACAAGCATTATGTCTATTACTGGGGTAGTATGATATTCTGTTACCAATGTTATATTCTGTTACCAATACTATTATGTTTTATTGAAATCAGGTTGAACATATCTCCTCAGGCATTTATTATTTCTCTATGGTGAAAACCTTCAATCTCCTACATGCTAGATTTAGGGAATGGTATAGCCCTCTTACCATGCAATAGTACACCAGAACTTCTTACTCTTACCTAACTAGAACCTGTGGACCAACCTCTCCCCAGCACCCTTTCCTGCTCTCCACAGCCTCTGGGGACCACCATTTTTCTCTCAACTTCTATGAAGCCAACTTGGTTTTTGTTTTGTTTTGTTTTCTGTCGGTTGTGGGGCTTGAACTCTGGGCATTGGGCACTATCCCTCAGCTCTTCAGCTTAAGGCTAGTGCTATACCACTTGAGCCTCAGCACCACTTCCAGTTATCTCGTGGTTTATTGGAGATAAGAGTCTAACAGACTTTCCTGCCAGGGCTGGCTTTGAACCGTGATCCTCAAGTCTCAGCCTCCTGAGTAGCTAGGATTACAGGCGTGAGCCACCAGAGCCTGGCCAGCCAACTTGTTTTTAGACTTTCACACAGGAGTGAGATCACACCATCTTTGTCTTTCTGCACCTGCCTTATTTCACTACACATAACAAGCCTTGGTTCCATCTATGTTGTTGTAAATGACAGGGTTTTTTTTAAGGACTGAATGCTATTCCATTGTGCATCAGAACTTTATCCATTTTGTCAGTTGATGGACACTTAAGTTGCTTCCATTTCTCATAAGCAATGTTGTAATGAATCTGGGAGTACAAATGTCTCTTTGACATTTTGGTTTTATTTCCTTTGTACATACACCCAGTAGTGAGATTATTGAATCATATGATACTCCTATTTTTATCTTCAGGAACCTGTTTTCCATACTGGCTGTGCTAATTTAATCCTCACTAATGGTGCTCCAGGCTCTCCCTTATTTATACATCCTTTCGGCATTTACTCTACTTACTCTTTTCCATAATAAGCATTACTGCCAGGATGAAATGTCACTGTAGTTTTGACTAAGACTTCCCTGATTGTGGTGATAAACACTGTTTTCATGTTCCTGTTGGCCATATAGATATCTTCTTTGGAGAAATATCTATTTGTGTATTATGTGTATGTGCCAGTCCTGGGGCCTGAGATCTGAGTCCAGGCACTGTCCCTGAGCTTTTTCATTCAAGGCTAGATCTGTGCCACTTCGTCCACACCTCCACAGCTTTTTGCTGGCTAGTGGGAATTAAGAGTCTCACAGACTTTCCTGCCCGGGCTGGCTTGGAACTACAATCCTCAGATCTCAGCCTCTTGAGCAGCTAGGGTTACAGATGTGAGCCATCGGCGCCCAGTGAGCAATGTCTACTTAGATCTATCGAGAAATTACTTTTTGGTGCTGTCAAGGGTCAGTGCTTCTTGGACCTGAGACCTTGACACTACTATGAGGGAAGGAGGCAGAAGGCCACACCATCTTACTGCCATCTTCACCTCCCGACAACTGCTTTCTACCTCTGCAAACGGACATCCCACAATTCCTACACTTTCTTTCTTTCTAGATCTGTTTTATTTTCTCTGTCAACGTGGTAGGAGGGCGGGGTAGGACTGGGAAGAGAAAGTGTCCACAGGGAACCAAGTGTCATTTTCTTCCATCCTTGCCAATTCTTCATCCTTCATTTCTAAATATATTGCAGAAGTAACCCAAAGCCCTGAATAAAGGATAGATGCCTGATGAAACATTGAGTTTACTCACAGTCCCAACTGCTAGTTTCACCAAAAACAACTAGAAGCTTTTATAAGTATTCTATACATGTCTCTACAGTTTTATGCCGTGGACTCCCTCAGGTGCAGATCAGAGAGGAGAGCTGGTTCTCAGCGGCAGCTCTTCATCCTGACCCGAGTGCAGCGCTTTCAGGAGCAGAATTGTTTTACGGTTACACACACACACACACACACACACACACACACACACACACACACACATGCGCGAACGTACACATACACACAGCAACTCAGATGCCCTCAACCATGGACTTTCAAATCCCATCTTGTTGCTGTGATCTCCCAGACACTTCTCACTGACCAGAGATGGCTCAAAATTTTTTTCTCAAAACAAGATTTTTTTTCAAAATAGCTTTGAACTGGCCTATCACATTAAAAAAGTCTCCTCACAACTGCTTAACAAAATGGATGCCAAGAAGCTGAAACGTATTGGGTTGGAAGGGAGGTCAAGGGGCTGAGGGCAGACAAATGGAGAGGGAAAGCCAGAATACTCAAGATAGGTATGTGAAAATGGAGTCAGGTAACTGGAGGAGCTGGGAGGGGAAAGACGGAGGATGAGGGAAGGGATGATGTTGATTAAGACGCAGCGTACTTCTAAACTGGTTTGTTGAACTGAACCCCCTCTGGTACAACTATTGAAAGACAATGTTAAAAATAAACATGAATAAATAACCAACACATAGATCTCCTCATCTATGATGTCCACAGGCATGAAGGCATTTGAAGGATCTAATTAGAGACTCACGGAAGGTTTAGACACATTTTCTCCAGTACATGTTTAGAAGAGGCAGGAACAATGATCATCACCTGAAGCCATAAATGCTTCATGGTAACAAAGTCACACCAGGAGTGAAATGGAGATGAACACTGGAAATGTAAGCAATAACCAATGACTCTGGTACTCTGGTCTCACTATGTCAGCTGGGATGACACAAAGGGACTCAAAAAGTAGCATTACATACACTCAAACAGCAGAGTCACTTCAACACAAGAGAACCAATTTTCTCATCATGTGATGAGAACGACAGAGCTGGAACCCCTCAGCATTTCCTCCACCTCTGACAAACGTGGAGAGCACAGGACTCCTCCTCCATGCCAGGCCTTACCTGCAAAACCTCCATTCAAAGTCCCACCCACGAAACTGTCATGGGAAGATGGTCACGTGAGGGGAAAGCCTCCAGCCTTGAGAGTCACATGACCATGGGAATGAAAGAATGTAGTGAGCATTCTCTCAGGCTTGACTTACAGTTTCAATCAAACCAGTCATTAAGCACCTATGAGCATCTGGCATTAGATGAAGTACCGCAAAGATAATCAGAAACAGAGGAGTTTTCTAGCTGGTTAATTGTGTGTTTTCTGAGTGCTTACAGTGCACCCTGTGCTGGGAAGGACCTCGTCCACAGAGGAAGCTTATCTCAAAGCGAGCATTTGTAGCACAGATAGAACCTGAGAACATGCAAATAATCAGAGAACGAATGGCACAGGAACTCACCACACATTTTCCCTACCAACACTACTGCTTTAGAAAAGTCCTGAAAAGCGGGATTTGAGAGGACTGTGACCATGCTGAGGAATCTACAGAAAGGAAATGGACAAGTCCACAAAGACAGAGGCAGCTGGCCCAGGGCAAACACTTTCAGAAGCAGCTATTCGTACCCCTGGAAATACTCCAGACTCCCAAGGCCTCACTAACATGGTATAGCCCAAATTGGAAGCCCCAGACACGTTCGCAGCTAACTTGAATACGCCATAAGATTTTCCATTCTCAGTTTCTTAGACAATATAATGTGGAAATAAACTTAATTTTATATTTTATACAGCTTTAAAAAAGACTTCTAGAGGAGTGAAGGCCACCTGTAAAATAAGGTACTCTACCATATCCTTAAAAATAGTCACCTCAGGCCGGACACTGGTGGCTTTCGCCTGAAATCCTAACTACTCAGGAGACTGAGAGCTGAGGGTCATGGTTCACAGCC